GGGACACAGACTCTGAAGCAGGCTCCAGGCTCTGAGCTGTCAGCACAGAGCTCAATGTGGGGCTCGAACTCATGAAGCGTGAAATCATGACCTGAGCCAAAGTCGGCCTCTCAACCGACTGAGCCACCCAGGCGCCCCTGAAATAGATTTTTATAAATCGCTAAGGACATTTACGTGAGCTCAACTTCTACATGATTACTTGAACCAATACAGTCGCTTATGTATCACTCCTTAAATACTATATTAAATATAAATTAAGATGTCATGAATAAAATTATAAAGATAAACAGAACAAGAGCACAAACATCACATCATGGTGAGAAAAAAAAAAAAGCAGTGGTGACTTTCCACATGTTAATTCAAGGGATTGGTTAAATCTACATAAGAAAAATTTACTGTCCAATTTATGGCACTCACGTGTTTCCTCCTTTAGCCTCCATTGTAGGTATTTAGTTTTCTTCCTCATTAGTTATCTGGCATACGTTTTGAACATCCCAGGAAACAAAAGGTTTCAGATGGGGGCATTCTTGTCAAAGCTGGCTGGCATTGAAGGAGAAACAGGTTACCATGTAGAATGAGTAAACACATTCCACTGATGTCATCTTTGCTCTGAAAAATCTTTATCTAATGCGGTCACAATCAATTGTTGATTTACTTACTGTCAGTTCACATTCCATCAGCACCTCCAAGTGAAAAGAGATTTGCAAAATGAAAACATGTTATTAGTTGTTACTTTTTTTTCATGGAGATTTATTTCATATATTACCTTTTTTTTTTTTTGCTGTGATTGATAGTATTTTAGTTTTAGTTCCTACTAAAAGATAAAATTGTTTCCATCTTTTCTTTCCTCATTTCCAATAGTAGGATCTATTAGGCAAGTGGGGTCACTGGAGAAATTTATGTCATTAAAAAATGTGTGGATATGTAGCGGAACAGCAACCTGAGAGTGACAAAGACAACTAATTCTGCAATCAGGCAAAATTGGATGATCCGAGCATCTATCTGAGGTATTGGACATGGTCTAAGGATAGCGTTTTAGATATCTAGAGACTGAGTAGGCTGGTCATTCTTCAAAAAAAACCCCATTAACATAATTTCTTAGAAATGAAAATTTAGCATCTCTAAACTCCCAGAAAGTTTGAGGTTCTTTTATGGTATACAGATCTAAAGTGCAAAATTCTTTATTTCAGATGCATTTCTTTTGGTATTCAAGTAAGTCATAGGGTATGGTTTATGTGCTCCTATGAAAATCCAGGAGCCTACTAGGACATGTTCCAGAACAGGAAGCCACTCCACTTCTGTTCGGAATTGAGTCAAGGAAGGAGAAAGTGCCGTGATTTGGAGGACAGGTTCATATGTGGTGATACAACTATATGTACATAGGAAAAGACAAAGTAGGAGAGCTGAATAATCTTTGGTAGGTTGTCACGTTCTATGAATCTTCTAGATCCTTTTCTACATTCGCATATTTAAAATTGTAGTAAAGTAGTTCCTGACATCTCTAGCCATTCATTCCCCTTTGTCTTTTATTGATGTATAGTCCACCACCAATAACAATCAGGCTTCCTCAGAGTTCAAGGCAAGTTCCAAGTGGCTGTATTAGCATTTTGACCAGATATCCTTTTACCTGTAGTAAAACAGATCAACACTTCTGAAACAAAGTTATCGATGCAAATCAATCACAAAACATGATTTTTTAATGTCTATTTTTAAAACAAAATAGGATCAGTTTGACACATTTTTAATAATTCTATTCTTGGGGCGCCTGGGTGGCGCAGTCGGTTAAGCGTCCGACTTCAGCCAGGTCACGATCTCGCGGTCCGTGAGTTCGAGCCCCGCGTCAGGCTCTGGGCTGATGGCTCGGAGCCTGGAGCCTGTTTCCGATTCTGTGTCTCCCTCTCTCTCTGCCCCTCCCCTGTTCATGCTCTGTCTCTCTCTATCCCAAAAAAATAAAAAATAAAACGTTGAAAAAAAAATTTAAAAAAAATAAAAAAATAAAAAAAAAAATAATTCTATTCTTTTCTTTGCCCAACTCTCCCCATTCTCATGTAAAGTTCCTTGTCTCACCAAATTTCCTTCAGAAACTCAGCCTTCAATTATATATCAGCAAATGAAAATTTGTGCTGAATGAGACAGAAATAAGAATAGTACATTATGTTCAAAGGAAAGGAATCCCATACATGATATTTAACACTCAAAATAGTACTTCAACAAATATGTCAAGAGACTCTTTATTCCATGATCTCCTGTACAGAAAGCGTCATTTTTTTCTAATCTTCAAAACCAAGTACAGAGCCTGGCAGAAAACATAAAGTATACTCTTGTTAAATTTTTTTTAAATGTTTTATTTATTTGTGTGTGTGTGTGAGAGAGAGAGAGAGAGCTGTCAGCTTAGAGCCTGATGCAGGGCTTGAACTCACAAACCATGAGATCATGACCTGAGCCAAAGTCAGAAGGTAACCAAGTGAGCCACCCAGGGGCCCCAGTATACTCTTATTTTTAAATGAATGAATGAATAAATGAGTGAGTCCTGTCGATAACTAATAGGGCAAAATTATCATGGATATCATTAGCATAGAGATGTTCTCTGATATTAATTTTCTCTAATACAGTCTAATGTCATTATGTGGAGTGTTAGGATTCGGTACTTTCATGCATATCATCTCAATTATATTGAAAA